TGGGGGGTGGGCCAGTGGATGGGGTTGGGTTTGTTGGAGTTATAGAGAAGATGAGCGAGCGAGCATGCATGGATGGATGATGGGGAGAATTGGTTCTTTTTGAGGGGATAGGTGGATGGATGGAGGGGGTGTGGATAGATAGGTGAATGAAATACAATGAGGAATTACTTTTGATTGGGAGGTGTTTTGAAGTGTGAATTTTGTCGTGAGGTGAGGGTTTGCTGGTGGGAGTGAATGAGAAGGTATCTATAGAGTACGTACTGTAAGTGGTCTGCAATGGTAAGTGTGAACTTGGAATTCACTATAGTATCATGGGTTCTCGACAGATCGTTAATCTTGGACTACCTATACAGTAGCGTGGATGGAACTCGTGGCTTCCACATGGGTTTCATATTCACTTACCGTATTGTATTGCTTGCCATGCTACTCGTTGGTGTATATTCACGGTTCACCTTCCCCGAGCGAGTTGAACCTGCAAGTAGACAACTCCTATTCACACCACACCGTTACCAACTTCCTTCAAAGTCCTTCCACCCTTCCATTCGAATTCCGCCTATCAAAAAAACTCGCACATCACACTACACCACACCACACCATCCACAAAAATACCCATCACTCCACTTCACCAAAACCCCAAGCCGTATCCCAAACCGTATCCCAAACCCCAAACCCCAACTCCCAAGCCTCAAGACTCAAGACTTCCTACCTCCTAAGGTAAGGTAAGCAAGTAAACAATTAGAGTTACAGTAGCGACCGCAACACGACACAGTATAGTCCTTGCATTATCGTAAAGCCCCCAGTCCCCATATATTAAACTCAGGGAACCAACAAATTATGTGGATATCATACTGTGGTTATTTAGTAAATATGGTTTTATTTTGGATACTTCTATTCTTATCTTGAGTATAAGTTTATTTCGTTCTCTTGGACGTTGAAGGGAGTGTGTGGATGGTTCCTACTGGGTACTTTGAGTTAAGGGGTATAAGTAACGGAGGGGTATGTTCTGAGGGGCTGGGTTGGGTGGTGGAGTGGAAGGATAGAAAATACTCTGTTTTTGAAAAGGTGTAAGGGGACTAGGGAATAATGGTAGTACTACGTTAATGTCTATGTAGATTATAGTTTATAGCACTTCTGACTCCCTGTTCGTAGTTAATTACATATAAAGGTATAGGTCTGGCTTATTACTTTTTTATACTGAGTAGTAGTTTATAAAGGTCGGATTACTTATATCCTTTCCAGAGTATATAGACACAAAATAACGTGCACGCGAAGCGGATATAAGTGGATGCGATAACTGGGTCAAATTGAAGCTCAAATGCTTAGAAAAGTGACCTGGTTGGCCAAACGACTTGCTTTTGTAGAGAGGATGTTGTAAGAGTGGATACTTTTACTCCACTTTGTATGCTCGTTATTTTTTGTGTCTATATACTCTGGGAGGGATATGGACTTGTTTTAATTATAAGTAATACTTCCTGATTACAATAGAAGAGGGTTAAGGAGCACAGGACCCGAGGAAAAGCTTTCGTTCGTCGCTTTGGTGCTCCGAGGCTGATTTTTGCAGTGGTAAGTTATCTTGCAAGAACGTTTCTTCACTGGTCACTTGTTCTTACGTAATACCTAGGAGTTGTTCTTCAATAGCCACAGGCCCTCACGTACCCAATAGCTGTTATTCATTCGATGTTAGTAGGACCAAGTCCAGCAATATGAGCCTCTTCCGTAACAACAATCATTCAATCTCAGTATAAGAGTCTACCTATACCTACTCTCTAGTGCCCAGATTGACAATCGTTGGCTGATCAATATAGGATATCAGAGATATGGATATAACCCCAACAAATTTCTTGTTAATAGACAGAGTTGTGGCAAAAATACCATGCACTCGACTCGCGAGTATTAGAAGGAGCCTCGGGTACATCGGGTGAGGGAGGCGGTGAACATTGAATCTTCGTCAATTGCTACGTGACGTTCTGTACTCACTTTTTGCGTAAACACACTAGGCACCAAGAGACTGGATAGATTATCGGTCAACTGAATGTCGGTGTACTCGTCATTGTGATGGTAAAGGGCTTTTTAACTCCGTTCCATTGTACTGCAGCTCAGGTGAGGTGGTGCAGATGAGGTGAGGTGACATTTGATCTTTGATCTTGGTTACAGTAGGTTGGACTTTTGGAGGTCTTGGCATAAGCTGGCTCGCTTATTTTTCAGGGATGATGATGCTGGGCTGGGTACCTCCTATGCTTGTTTTGTCGGATGTTTTCGCTTTTCAGGACGGGGAAGGATGTGGAGTATTATGTTGTGGTTCCTTTATTTCTTGAAGAAATGTGCGAAGCGTGATAACCATTCCATTCAAGCGCTTTTTTATACTTTGAGGGAGATGAGACAAGGTATATTTGTATTTTACTGTAGCTGTCCGATCCTTTTGAACTTTATCGTTGCAGGGTGTTATTTGAGAAAACATGCTAAAATAAATGAAGAGTGATGCTATGCGCGAGTCTAGTCCTTTTCGTATTAAGAATCTACTCGGTACGGGGTCTCCCTTGTTTGGATGTTTTCGGCGCTCGGCCTGTTTGAACTGTTTTTTCCCCAGCTGTATAAAAGCCAGAGCTTACAAGGACGAGAATGGAAGATTGCTGCTGGGCTGGTTTTCAAGATGTCATTCTTAGCCAAGCTCGTGGTTCTTCGCCGGCATCCGATGAAACTGCAAGAGTAAGCCTGGACCGGTGATGTGGTGAGCCAATGAGGAGGAAGGTATTAGATTGCATATCCTATGGAGCTAGGTAGTATTATTTCGGGCAAATTTCGAATGGATGCTTGGCTGTGAGACTTGGTTCTCGTGTTGGGACGATGATGTGTGGTAGGGCTGAGGATTATTGGGACATCGGTTTCTGTCTTCTATAGTGCTTATGGCTTTTTCGTATAAATTTGTTGGAAACTCCGTGGTATTGGGATTCTTTCTTTATTGTCCCCATTGTCGTTCATCCACATTACATTCATTTAGTCTAGTTATTCTCACCCAAAAGAAAAACGGGCATCATGAAATTGGTACTTGTGTCTGTTATTGCTGCTTTAGGTTCTACCATTGTCGCCGACTCACTCCCATATGACATCGATAGTGACTGGGCACCCGCGGGTCCTGGTGATGGTATATATCCTTCCACATAATCCATCTATCACCATACTGCTCAATCTTCTAGAGCAAGAAGTAAACTTGAGCCCTAGTTGCAAAATACCTCTCACATTTCAAATCCTAGATAAATACTAACATTTTTGACAACAGTGAGAGGACCATGTCCTATGCTTAACACTCTCGCCAATCACAATATCCTCCCTCACAATGGCAAGAACCTCACTGAGGAAATCACTATCCAAGCCCTTATAGACGGTGTCAATTTTACCAGCTCTCTCGGAAAATTTCTCTTCAATTTTGCGCTTACGACGAACCCTGTTAGTGGGACCGGAATGTTTGATTTAGACCACCTGGGAATTCACAATATTCTGGAACACGATGCTAGTCTGAGGTACGCACTTCACTTCTGTTTCTCCCACAGTCCTCTTCCATAAGACTAAAATTACATTCTCTAGTCGACCAGACGACTTTCACAACCCCTCCGACGTCTTTGACCCGGTCATATTCAACGAGACAAAATCCTACTGGACAGGAGAGATCATTGACCTCGAGGCAGCCGCCACATCCCGTCATGCTCGGGCGGAAACCTCGGTAGCCACCAACCCAGGCTTTATGCTTTCCAACATCGCAATGGGATTTGCTTATGGAGAGGTAGCCGCTTACCTGATGGTTTTTGGGAAGGATGAAGATGGGAGAAAAGCTGGACAGGCTAGAAAGGATTGGGTCACATATTTGTTTGGTGGGTTTTATTTGACTTGCTAGTCGGTATTGGGAGGCTAACCTTTTTTGTGATAGAACAAGAAAAGTTACCTACGGAATTAGGTTGGATAACTCCAAATCCTGCTATTTCGAACTTGGAGTTGTGTCAGATGACTCAAAATGTCTTTCGAACTACGGGAACTACGAAGCAGGTGGCTGAGGCATGGTTCCCTTGCTTCCTTTTCGGTGCTTCATGATATGAGCATAAGGCGACCATTTTTATGAGGATCAAATTCTCATTTATACGTTCATTGAGATGGGTTGGGTATTTTATGAATTTGATGTGTTTGAAGATATAGAGTACTGGCTTCTATCATCACAGTATAGTATGGATGTTCAGTCACTTTTAATTGAAAGGCTCGCCATTTTGTGAAGTCTTATTCCAAGTTCGGATAAATCGCTTCCTTTATTCCACTGCAATCTTGAGGGAAGTACTAATCAAAGTGATTGGTATCTGAGAAGACTCCTGGAAGCGCTTCTCCTTGTGAGACTGAGCCCTTACGGACTGAAGGTATTGGGTTTGCTGGGAGCTTCTAGATAGATAATTGATCATTCTGACGCACTTCACATAACCCATATTGATAAAGTTTTCAGCAATGTATGCTTACAGTTTATGAATTATATGTTGTAATGAGTATGAAAGTGGGTATGAACTTGCTAATTAGTAGGTCAAAGGACCAGCTACTTGTACTACTCATGACCCCTACATGTTATCAGGTAGGAGACAAAAAGCCAGTACTTCAACATGTAATTCCACCATTTTCGAAAAATGTCAATTAAAGTGAACAAAGGAGTGGTTCGCGACTGTACTGTCAGCGAGGCTGTGAACAATCTTTTCCACGCGATGCTCTTTCCCCATGGTCCTAATCGTATTCATTCAGGATAATGCTTCAACGGGTAGAAATTCGTCATGAGTGTTTTTTACTCTGGCTTCATCTCGTGATAAGGATTTGCGAATTCAAATAGCCTGCCCTCGATACACGCCTGGTGTAGTTTAAGAGGGTCCACCACAAGTAGTAGTCTTTTGTAGATTTCCATCAGAGTACAGATATCCTCGAGTTCTCTGCAATTGTCAAACCCATAGTCGAGGCGGACGGACTGAAATCGAAGTTCGTCAAGCTTGGCAGGTTCGTTTATAGCAAGAAACTGTTTCAGATACCACACCGAGAATTTTCTTTCCTCAGGTGAACTCCAGAATCTTTTCACTCTTGGGTTGATCTTAAGATTGTAAGAATCCATGAGAGATATAAGCTGTCCAGCGTGATGCGCTCTCCAGAATTTATCGAATGTGCATTTGACTGCACCTCTGACGCTGTGGTTCAACAGCCTAAGGAAAGTGCCACCAAGAACACCCTCTTCGTGTTCAGATTGGCAAACGCAAAATCCAAAGGCGACCCATAAATTTTGTATTGGATTCGGACCAGTTCCCATTAGTACCATCCTGAGTAGCTCAAATGATTCAAACTTCGCTTCCGGGTCCACATCTATCCAGTTCTCTACTTGCTGGTCCTCTGGGCTCAGATAGGTTCTGGCTTCCTCCAAAAACGGTCTATAGGTTTCATGTGAAAGCGAGTCTGATTTGAAAGAAGCATCAAAGATATGCGTATTTTTGAGAAATTAAGGAAACTAACCCCCTCGCATGTCTTCAGGAAGTTTACGAAATTCCTTTTTGATGTTCTCGACTAAGACGCCTTCTCTCTGCCATCTATCCACTTCCATGACTGGGACCTGTAAAATTTGCAAACCTTGATACAGTCCGAGAAGGTTCGACCTGTCAATATAGGATGGTAGTTTTGAAAAACAGAAATTAACGAGTACTTCTGTATCCACTGGCATTTCATTTTCTTCACAATCCGCGTACAAGATATCTGCGGGAGTTATGGCGCGTTTTAAATTATCGAAGCTATGGCACGACCTATAAGTAGAATGGGCAGGGAGCGTCGGAGCGAGTTTGTATTCAGAAGCCTTCTAACTGTTACTGAGAGTCCTGAGAGCTGGTTCAACTTTACTCACAGAAAATTCACAAGCAACTCTGTCCTGCACCCGTTTTTGACGTAAAGTTTGCATCGTTTCTACTGAATGACTCTCGCATCCGATACCGCTTCCAATAACTGAAGTTTTCTGTGTTTGAATATTCTGCTGAGTTTCTTGTTGGAGTTTTTCACGTATTTTACCTTGGACGTATATCAACGCTCTAGCAATCACCGCGTCGTAGCCTTGTCGAAGGTTCGAGCTTGATGGCACAGTCCAGGGATGAAAGAGTTGACCATGGCATCCTCTGGTAGTAAAAGTTCCAAGCCCGAGAAGAAAGCTCCAGCACATGAAGCAAGACTTTTTACTGCACCCCATATAATTGAAGATTCCATCTAGTGTCTCTTCCATATCACACAATTGAAGTACCATCCGGACTTCCGCATGATTTTGAGGTCTCTGGTCTGTCAAGCTTATGAGTTTCTTCTTGGCCCCTTTTACTGTCCAGTTCGAACCGAGATCTTGCTTAATGGTGGCCGAATCGAGGTGAAGACCAAGCAGTTTAAACGTCACTTCCAATCCTAGCTTATTTTGCAGTGGTGTTATCAAGACCTCTCGCGCTTCCACCAGTGTAAATTTTATTCTGGAAAAGCTGGGGATTGTGGCGAGACTCTCTTTGATCGTTGCGAATGCACCTTGAAGCCTACCAAGGTAGTAGATATTCTCCCACAGCTTCCGGGTGTCTGTGAAAGCTGGTGGACTATCGTTGAGTAGATGATTTACATGTTTCGCATCCCTGGCTCTCCATATGTCGTAAGCCTCCGTGACGAATTTACCACATTCAGTCAGGGTAAGCTGGTGACTCTCTTTGTTCAACACTCGGTCACGGAACTCGTTGTATTGTAATCTGACTTGAACTACGATGTCTGGACCAAAGACGAGATTCTCATTGCATTTCTTCAAGCTGCGTTTCAGTCGAGGAATGTATGTCGTCTGGATTTTGGTGCTCTGGTAGCTCAACATGCCGGACCAGATCTTCTCAGTATGTGCTGCTATTTTTGCGTTAGCCAAATGGGAGAAGGATTAGTAAAGGAGCATGATCCTTACCCAGTGCATTTGTTTCAGGGCTAAGTGACCAATCGAACCACTTTGTAAACAAGTCGTCAGAAGACTTTGGTGACTCCACTGCCTTTTGCGAAGCAGATAATCGTGACCATTCGTTCAACAAAGATCCAAACTTGAAGAAAAAATCCTTGTCGTAATCGTCGAAGGGCTCATTTCTCGCGACATATATCTCGGAATTTTCTCCGTGCGCTCTTATGGCAGTACAAGTAACGTGTGAACCCCCCGCTTCTCTAGATGCAAATTCCGCCATCACATCAAGAAAGCGTTTCTTGAGTTTATCGTTGCCGAATTCCGAAATTTGCTGTGGACTTGTTGTATCGATACTCTCCGCGTAGTCCTTTCCCGATGCTTGTTCATCTTGGTCGATATCATCGTTCGAGGACGGCTTAACTTGGCCATTGCTTCGAAGAGACAAGAGGTTTGTCAGAGCTACAAAGTCTTGTTTTTTCAAACATGGATGGTCCCAAGTAAATTTTGCGGCCATGATCAGAGCTTCCAGTGTGCTGGAGGATGTGGTTGTCTGAAGGTGTGCTGTCTAGAATTAGCCGAGATTAGGAATGTTGAACAAACATAGTTGTACAGCACATGATTACGTAAAGAAGGGAAAACCCGACTATATTCCTGTTACCCTAATCTGAGAATAAACCCGAGAACAGATCTTCGTAAAAACGGAAAAAAAAAAGAGACACCTTAATACGCTCTTCTGTTTTTGGGTAATAAGAACTACTAATATACGGCATCCTAAATGTACTAAACGGGTAAATAGACTTGATAATAAATCGTAAATTGTTAAAGTCATATATTTACTAGTACTACCATGCCTATACCCCTATACTCCTACCTTATTCTTAGCTCTACGTTTGATCAGACCATATATTTTTACGTGTATATTCATACACCTACCTACTGTTGTATCCTTATTGTCGTATCCTTCCGTGTCGTCCTCTTCCGATGCCAGGAACCCAAAATTATGATCAGGGCATTGAGTTGATGTAATGAGTTCCCCGGCCCGTGAAGCTTGAGGTGTGTGGGGTTCCTGATCGCTGATTTCCGACTGTGGAAGAGGGGGTTGGAGATGGAGAGCGCGGAGGCGGATGCGCCGCTGCAGATGTGGACGGGTGGCTGGACCCGCCAAAGAAATCTTGATTTGACAACAGTTCAGTGAACGATTGACAAGAGCAATGAGATATAAGCAGACGGGAGATGGGAGCGAGGTTTGGAATGGAAAGGGCTTATAGCTAGTCCATTTTTGGTCATGATTCTGCGTAGGTAGGCATGAACCACTCCCACGCTCCTTCCTTCCCAAGAGTTCCTGGCCTCCCGTTACAATAAATCAACCCGACTAACAAGAGAACTCCTCGAATGATCTTTTCCTCTTTCAAAGAGGACATAGCACTCTTGAGTGCATCAAATTTGGTGGTGGCAACAATATAATCTTAACGTCACCTCGCTTACAGAATTTTGTTTTCTTCGGTCTTCTTGGGTCTTTGCCTACACGCGTGGTATTCACTTAAGGTTATCTTGTTTCGTTTGAATATGACGTGCTTTTTAAGAGGTTTGATGATAATAGTGGGAGAGAAATGGAGGGGGCCAACGGGGTGTGATCTTCGGGGGGGGGTACTTGGAGGGATAGTAGAATGAAATTTTCAGCAGAAATTGTAAGAATTGGGTTCTGATACGGATGTCATAATATATCTAGGTCCTCCATAATAATAGCCATGTTCTATATCCCTATCTTGTACTTTTGTTTGTAATCCTGCCTTCTCGTGCTTAACTGCTCTCTATGAAATGAAAACATCCAAGCGATAATGATTCGGGAATATCCACAATGTTTTTTTTATCTATTCGCACTGTGATAATTCGACATCATAAGTATCTCTGCACCATTATCAATAAACCTTACTTTTCATCAAGCGAGGGCGAAACGACATAGTAAATAGAGAAGTAGTGAATTTATAGCATTTCCAGCTTAACACTACCATTGTTTTGAGCAAAGGTATAGGGGTTTGATTTATCACTATAGGCGACTTACTGTCTATTAGTATCGGGTTTTACTAAGCGCAATCTAAATTAACTCATTTATATTTATACTAGTACTGTAGATTTTTTGTTACGCCGTTATGATTTAGTGACTAAAAGGGGCGAAAATAAGTATGATTTAGGAGGGAAAAAATAGGAAGTCTTTCAGGACCTGTAGAGCCAAGTTACCAAATACAAGATAAGGGCGGACTCTCAGTCATCTTTGCTCGGAATAAACCGTCATAATAAGCAATAGCAAAGTTTTGGGTATAACCAGAATTGTCTATAAAAAGTCAGTGAGATGTGCAATCAGAGGGCCGGAGGCTCAATTATAGGTATGCTTCTTCTTTTCAAATAATCGCCTCAAGTTTTTGGAAAACTCATGGATAATAAGCAGAGATTGCGATCACGAAGCATTAACGACATAAGATCTTACAAAATATCATTGTCGAAAGAAAATATGGGGAAACTCGTGAGGTGAAAATACTCAAATTAATACAGGCGAGACAAGCTCCTATCATATAGTTTAATATAAAGAACCTGCGGCATCTATGACCAAAGAAAAACGCACCTTATCGGTAATAATGAAGAAATATGGTTCCTTAAACATACAGTACATGGTTTGATTTAGCATATTCCGTCCACCAATTATGTTATTTGAGAATTAAATGGTTGCCATTCGTTAAGTTCTTGTATTCTTTTTGCCTTATCAGCCTTGAATTCAAGTAGAGCATGTAACGTCGAAAGCAAGAAACTAGTTGTAAGTGATGCTAGCTAATTTGGATCTATATACCCGTTCTTGCTCAAGTTCGACCAATCCACCTATTAAAGAACCCCGGGCTGGATACCTCAAACGTCTCATCTATCCTATACGCAACCATCTAATCATTCTTGCCGACCACATCGACAGGCGCAACAACTAACGATGCCGGAGGCGTGCCAGAAGCCTCAATTTCTGATAGACCCTTCCTTCTTGTTAACTCATCAAACATGCCCCAGTCCCCGATTTGCTCATCAAAGAATTGGTCAATATCTAAACCATTCATCTCCGCCTCCTCTGTAACTCTCAAATGCATTCCGGGTATAAATTTCAGAATGTAGAGAAGAGCGCAGGAAACAACGAAGGAATATGCGGAGATAGCAGTAATTTCTGCAAATTGTTTTCCGACCTGGATTCCCACGCCATCGACTGCTCCCGAGGCAATGGTCGCACCATCGAGAGCGGATACTGTTTAATCTTAGCCTTCATCCGTAACTGAAACATCCTTTGATCTCCCTAGACGACCTTGTTCGACCATCCTGGTGTTTCTAAAAGTTCAAGTGAAGGGATACTTACTTTTCGAAGTGGCAAAAAGACCAGTCAAGAAACTCCCGACCATCCCCCCGACGCCATGAAGCTTAAACACGTCCATTCCCTCATCAATATGAAGCCAGTCATTAAGATTCTGCAGAAGAGCACAAACAACAGCTGTGATAAATCCAATAACAGCCGCTAGCCATGGTTCAACGTAACCAGCGGCAGGAGTAATACCCACGAGTCCGGCAATAGCACCCTCACAAGCACCAACAACGCTGAATCTTCTACCATGCTTGAAGTAATCAACCATAACCCAGCCAAGAACTCCGGTGGACGCTGCGACGTTGGTATTAAATGCTGCCAGCATTGCTCTGATTGACGCATTGAGAGCAGAGCCTCCGTTGAATCCAAACCAGCCGAACCAGATGAGAACTGTACCTAGAAAGACGAGTGTTGTATTGTGAGGCTTTCCGTGACTTGAATCCCCAGAATGCTTGCGTTTTCCAAGGACAAAGGCATACGCGAGGGCTGACCAACCACTCGCTATGTGAACAGGCCCACCTCCTGCAAAATCAAGCGAGGGAAGCTTGAATTACAGTCAGCCATTTTGCAAACTACTATTCACGAGAGCGCGACCAGGGGAATACTTACATTGAACAGCCATCCGCTACTGTTCCATGTCCAGCATGCGATGGGGCAATACACAATTGTGGCCCACCAGAAAGCAAAAACGAGACTGGGAATGATACGACCTCTTTCGAATGCGCCGCCAACTACAATTTGGACAGTACAAGCACTAAAAAATATTAGCCTCCTCGAATCGCCCCCTCTCTCTTCGGAGAACCTACCAAAACAAGAGTTGGTAGAGGCAAAAGACGATCTCTGGCAGAACAGCACTCCCTGGAGAAGGAGCAGCCATGACATGTTTCATTCCAAAGTTCGTGAGATCTCCGATAAATGGACCAGCAGTTCTTGAATACGCCAGAGAATATCCCCAAAACATCCATTGTATCGTAATCACAGAGACGACCATCAAACTCTGGAACAGCAGAGCCAACGCCGACTTTCGACGAGCGAGTCCGCCATATAAGAGTCCAATACCGGGGATGATGAGCCAAACTATGAATCCACAGAACACAATATACGTATAGTGGTATTCGAGCCCAACGAAGGGTGCATTCACATCCATGGTTGTTGGATTCCCTCCGCTCGGGATAGTTTCAGTGAATTCCGGCTGTGACATTGTTAGTTATTTTTCACCAATATTGAGAAAGTCCGTCTTACTGCAGTACTCATGTTGAAACAAGTTAATCAAAACTCCAAAATGACAATTTCTTGAGTTTCCAACCTCTGATTCTCTCAACGCGGCGAAAGAAGTCTTTTTATATATCATCCTATCTCAGAGCCCCAGAGCACCCCACATACCAACAATTCCGGGCCCCAGCTCCAACACGAAGACCAATAAACGAGCATAATTCTTATCGCAATTTGTTTAGCTATCTTTTTCGGTGGCCTAAACCGTCTCTTATTACCTGGCCATTGAAGAGTTCCTGGAAGTAAAATGTGTAAAGACAAGCTGTCTGACGTATGCGGTCCCTATTCGAGGACTGATAAGGTACTTGGCATAAATGGGGTAGATTTACCCTTTTGGGGAACGTTTGAACCAACCACAGCGAGAGAGTGGGAGAAATGATTGACAAGAAGTGATTGTAGCATCGCGGTTACATACTTCGTATGTTGCTGCCTGCAGAAGAAGATAGTTTCTTCAAATTAGGTAGGGATTCTTGGAAAGTTCGTGACCGCAGTTTCAAGGCGCTTCTCTCAAAGATATTTCGAAAAGATCGAAAGAAACAAAAAGCTTCTCAGTCTAGTTATTTAGGATAATAGTCAGTGCGTCTTCCTACTGCGCTGTCGCTTGTAGTCAGTGGAAGCAAGTGTCTTGTGGAAGCAAGTGTCTGATCTTACTAAGGATTCTTCTATTAAAGGTAATTTTTAAGCTACAAGCATCTATATAGACTCAAAAGAAAGCCCTTAGTTAGCTCTATAGTATAGTAGTATATAAGCTAAATACAGCCGTAGCGCGTTATTATATAAGGGGGAACTATAGATATTAAAAGGAAGAGTACTTAGGGGCGTGGGCAGGCGCATTTTGTAGGGCGCACTATACACTACCTAGGTGTCGGAATAATTTATGTGCATCGCACGCAAATCGTGTTCAAAAGACATATCCTTTTGTTATAGGTTAGTAGTCAATTGCGTCTACAAGTCTATCTAACTCTTATGACTTTCTGACTAGTAAAAGTAGTGCTATATAGGTAGAAGAGCGGTATACGTATGCCCACATCGGACACTTGCTTCCACTGACTACAAGCGACAGCGCAGTAGGAAGACGCACTGACTATTAATCAATTGCTGAAGGAAACAGATTCGACGAAGGTTGAGCAGAGACACGTGCAAATCACGTGCATGTTCCCCTTTCTACCGTTCTCCGAACCAGGGAATTGCTGGAACGCAGGTGTATTTCTAGACAATATCAACTTCGTCTTCTTCCCGCTGAAACTGGAGATTATCTTGGATGGATTTGTCTGGTGATCAGCTGATTCGAAATCCTGCTCAATTTCCAGTTGGGAAGACAATGTGCAGGTGCAGTCAAGAGAACACAACACGCTACCTATATTCCAGAACTTTCAAGATTTCTCGTACAGTGTAACATGAAATCTTCTGGATTTGAGTGTGAACAAAACAATGAACTTTTTGTCTCCGGGAATAATAGCATACTGAAATGAAGGATGAAAGTATGAGACGACGGAAAAACCAACAAATCCAATCTGGGAAAAAGAGACGACAGAAACGGTCATTCAGGCATCCACAAGACTAACTTTAGCTCTCGGAATGACTGATAATTGACACTGTTCAGGAAAATTCCCCGAATTCAAGGTTATTGACCATGTGGCAAAAGAAATGGTCGGATAAGTTTTGGGGGCCAAGAATTTAGACAGCTGAAGCCTCATCTGGCGGTCTAGATACGGATAGAGCCGATGCACATCATCTATTGACAAACCTCATGTCAACAACTGGAAAGATATCTCCGTTCGTACAGTCGAATCGCAACCAAAACTCAGAATTTTTCTTATTTTAGAGAGGCGAAAAAACAGAAAAAAAAACAACGATGGATACTTCCGAAAGTCCGTGATGCAAGAAAACACATTGATAACTGATACTTTATTTTCCGAACGTTAGGAAAGCTGAAAAGAAGGGTGTATCCATGGTCTCGTTTCCTTTTTCGTGTTCCCCACATTCGTAAATAGCCTCAAAAATCAGTCCACTCGACATCAATGTGAAAGATGGGAACAATCTTAGACACTGGACCTGCACCAATTTCCCCCTTATCCGGCGAAACTGTACTTGGGCAGCCCCTTCACACCTGGTTTGTATCGAAAAACATGACCGCCTTCATCTCCTGCTTCGGGGCCGGTGAACGGAATAGCAGATGTCACGAAGAGTATGTCGTTGTCTTTACCCCCCCACGTAGTACATGTCATACATTTCGCTGGGAATTGGATGGACTGCAACAGCTTCCCTTCCGGCGAATACACTCTAACCTCATTCATCCCCCACATGGCAATCCAGAGGTTACCGGTCTCGCTATTCACGTATCAATGTTATGTATGTCTCAGAGGAGGGGGTACAATTGAGGGCGTTGTGCTTACTCTATGACCATTCCATCGTTGCCGCCCCCTTGTGGAAAATCTGTCCCCTCAATGAGTTTCGTTTTGTTGGAGATATCTCCCGTTTTGCCGTCAAAGTCATATCTCCAAACAACTTTAGGTCCAGTATCATTGAAATACACTGTTCAAAATATCAATATCGTTTTCTTTGTGAGAAACTAGTCCAGAAACTCACTATATTTGCTATCCGGGCTCCAGCCAATTCCGTTACCACATATGACTCCCGTGTCCATGACTGTGCAACTTCCATCTGGGTCGTACCTCCATAACTTTCCCCTCGGCTCAGTTCCTTTCATGAAAGCAGAAGCATCCACATCTCCCAACCAAAATCTTCCTTGGGGATCAACCCCAGCATCGTTGGAATTCATCCCCTGTTCCTCGTCCCCAATAAGCTTCTTCACAACCTCTATTGCTCCCGTCTGCTCGTCCAGAAACGCAATCCCTTGGCGATACGCAACAATGTAACTTCCCTTCACATCTCGACGAAAGTAAAGTGCATGGATTGAATCTAATGGGACCTCGAGGACGCGGGCAGAGCCAATAGCATCACCGGTGGTGGGATCTATTTTGAGAATATGGACCGTACAGGGTTTTGCGAGTATATCGATCCAATGCAAGGTCGAGTCACTTTCTCGATAGATTGGCGACTCACCCAGAGTATTGGGTGTTGGATTTCTGTACCACACATCGCCTCCATTCTTTGTCAAATGATCTGTCATTTTCGTAAATAGTCCCTCAGCAGCAATGAAAAAGAAGCGTGGAAGAACAAGCCTGGGAAACAGCACGGTAGTGTAACGCGGGTTGCTAGTTAGATCTAATGTAAATTTATATAAAAAAGAAATGGAGCCAAAAACTGACAAATACAAATTGATAATACAAAACCCAGAATCCCGATGCAAAATGCAATATGCTTCCACTAATGCCACCAAATCCAGAACTCAAAGTCATGAAATCAACCAAAGCCACTAGTATTCCAGGGTCTCATGCGGGGTGGACCCCGCACTCTGCGTGAGATCCGAGGTCGTCCCTTCTCAAAACAGACCCTTGATCCCGTCTTTTCCTTTCTACGCCGCACCACCACAGATCTGATATTCCCACAAGCACACATTCCTTCTTCACCACCCAATCATCCAATTGATGGTAATGAGCCAATCCTCCTAAAAAGGGACATTGCAGGGCAGGGTATACCTTCCCGGACACCTCGAATAATGGAAATTATCCTCATGTCAAAAACTCGTCTGCTTGCGAAATCCACAAATGAATGTTTTCCGAGGGTCGGTGGAGCTTTGCTAATGTTTTCCGAGGGTCGGTGGAGCTTTGCTAATGTTTTCCTCTGCGTTTGTAATCCCCTTCGCTGGGCGAAGGCACATCTTGCTCCGTAAGATTTTACGCCGTCTTAATTTCTCGCGGAACGGGACGCTTCTGCATCATCCACGTAATAATATTCGTTTGTACCAGTTCCTACAAACACGTCCGCATTGCTACCCGTCAACCATTGGTCTTGATCTGAGGGGGCAAGATATGAATAGTCTTGAGATGTATCGGCAGAACTATGACCAATATCCGCCGGGTAGTATCCAGCCGTGGTCGGGTAATAGTCCCCGCTGGTTGAGGAATTGTCGATTTGATGGCTTGAAGAATTTCCCGAGTAGTAGCGTCCATCGCTTCTTGCTGAAGGTGATGGTGTGTTGTAATCGGGTGTGGTGTTGTAAGGGTACTGGCCTCCAGGCGAGATAACCGCAGCCGAATGACCGCCATAATACTGCGATGCTGGTGTCATTGATGGGTCCAGAGGAGCATTTGATCGACTAGGTTGATTTGACCGGACAGCATTTCTATCAGCATCACGCGAATCCAAGACGTGATCACTTGAACTAGAGTTTGTGTCAGCATTACGATGCAGGGTTGAAGCAGTAGCGATGGTGTTCTGACCTTGAACTTTGGTAGGTACAAACTGGAGGCGGGTAGCGCCTTGCACAGTTGGAACATGGTCGATCTTTGGCCTGATTACACTTTTGTTTCCTTCTCCTGCACTCTGTACAAGAGGTAAAAGTCCTCTGTCGTGGGCGAAGAGCGCTTGATGAAGAAGAACTATGCATTGTGTCGGACATAACCATTTGGGCGTATTTTCTTTTCTTCTAGTGTTGATGAAGGCTTTCTATGGAAACGTCGATGACGATCTTTGTTTTTGGATTTCATGATGCCAGACCTCCTTTGCTTAATAGTTGAATTCTCTGAGACCCAAGCTGAAAGAGGCTCTCCAGTTCAGCCAATGATATAGCCATAAAACAGCCAATTGTGCCACGACCTTTAGCTGGAGTATACGAATGACTGAGAAGATAAAATCGGTCATGAGTGGGTATTTTTAAAGTAGGATTTCTGTCCCGAGCCTCCACCTGGGTGCCTTTTTCGTTTCTCTCCTCCTGGCTGTCCTGTCTGTTCGCCATTTTCGTAGAGCTACCCCTGCAGTGTTACCAGCATACTCGATTATGTGCGCATTGTGACCCAGGTCAGATATAGGAAGCCACAATTTTCCCTCTTTGGGCGCTGAGAGCAACAAAACATCACTACCGACACATCCAGCACTCTCGGGCTGAAGCGTATAAAACCTAATCCTTCGTGAATTTCTTTGGTTTCCTTACCGGCTTGCAAGCACGCTATCCTCGAAATGGTAACCACTCGCTTTCGGGAAATACCCATAAACGAGGCTTCAACCTATTTTCAGGCTTCTTTGGTATGAAAGCTACATAGTTACAATGACGCTCGCTTCCTTCCGAGTTTCGCTGGGCGTGGGTGGAGTCTTGTCTCTGATATCGAAAGCTGACGTCTCGACCCTCGTCACACTGAATGGGGCGCCCTGCTCAGTTGACAGCATTGTCATCCGCAATGTTTGCATCATAGGGAGAGGCTCTACGGGCACGTACTCAGCCATCCGCTTATTATACCTGGGGAAAAACAATAGTGGTGGTGGAATCAGTCCAGATCAGGCGGGCATATCGAGACATACACAGATCCAATGACCAAGGGATTTGTGGATTATGATGCTGTTGCATGGCATGATTTGGATATTGTTGGGAAACACTTTGCCGGTTTTAATATATCCCTAGAGAAAGTTGGCCCTGAAGAAGTTTAAAATTCAGGGACCACACATTACGTCGACTTTCGAATCGGTCAAGAATTTCCAACTACTCTCTTCCTGACCCCACGCTAGGTCTGACTGTGTATGCCACACATCTCGCCAAATATCCCTACTTGCAGAATGGATTCAGTATGCCATATCCGGTGCCTGTTGAATTGTTGCTTCCATTTGGCAACTTCGCTGAAAAGTATAACATCCAATCTTTCATACCACTAGTTGGAATTTTGCTCAGGGTTTGGGTGATAAACTCGTGCAGCCGACTTCGAATGTTTGCAAGAATTTCGGCTCCGATATTATTAGATATTCAAATCGGCTTTCTGACATCAGAACAACGTGACAACAGCCTCCTTTACGAACACGCTGCTGCAGAACTTGAGGGGAGCCTTCAACTAAACAGCGAGATCCTTGCTGTAGATCGAGACTCCTCCGAGGAAGCCAAGGTTTTGGTCCAAATGCCATCTGGCAATACAATGATCAAGACAAGCAAACTAGTCTTCACCAATCCTCCAAAATTAGAAAACCTCCCAGGATGGATTTTGAGTCCACTGGAACGCAAAATTTTTTCGACAGTTTTCGAATTCTGGATATTACACCGCTATCACACGCAACTCGGGACTTCCCGAAAACGTCAGTGTTGTGATTGTCTCACCAGAATCGGAATACCAACTTGGTAGCCTTCCAGGCATCTATAAAGTGCCCGCTGCTAGTATACCGGGCTCATATAATGTAAAATATGGAAGCGTGGGGGGGTTGTTATGAGATACGCAAGTGCGAGAGCAGATCCTTTCTGATATCCAAAGGATTTAGATTGAAGGGAAGCAATATACTAAAGTAGAAATTGCTGTCTACTCAAGCCATACTCCCTTCGAGTTAACAGTACCACCATACGCTATTGCGAACGGATTCCACAAAGAGCTGTGCGGGCTGCAAGGGCAAAGACACACGTACTATACTGGAGCAGCTTTCCACATCCATGATTCGTCATTTCTCTGGCAGTTTTCTGAGAAGCTTCTGCCTAACAAACCCGCATCCTGACATTTGGTCAATAAAAGTATATATGATGCAAGTGGAACGTTGTGGTGCCAGGGAACAACGTGGTGGGAGGTAGGGCGGCCAATCGTGGGTTTTCTCATCACGTTTAGATGAGAGAGAGGCTTTTGTACACAGATAACAATGAAATCAAAACTTGAGGTTTCTCAGCCTTGCTGTAAGGTCATTGTTGTTCAACCATTGGTTCAGCTAACCCCTACCCGCGGGGGTTGTTTTGCGGTTGGGGTTACGGTTGCGGCTGAGGCATCTCGAAGGCGTGGGTCAAGATATGCTTCGAGGCCTGCCTGCTTTGCGAGAGGCGAGACCACATGGCAAAATTGGCCTAGGGTCCATGTTGCATGTTCCTGAATCGAGCGTATTCGATAGTACGGACGATAAGTCACACCAAACGAGGCAGATTTGACTTGGGTCGATGGCTAAATGCGTCACGATACAGCTCTCCGTCAAGCCCGCCGCCTGCAAGCCACCACCAGTGCCATGTGGTTTGCTGTATGGAATGCAGACTGCAGCTGTAGTATTGTCGATGCGGAATGGTGTGATGTGATGTGATGCAGACCGGGTGGTGGCTAGGATGATTCGGCTACTGTAAAGGTTTCCTAAAATAGCAACAATATGGGGCATTCAACGGGAAACTCAAGTCAGGGTACCAGAAATGTGTGTGGTTGCTACTTGGTTGTCATTGTTCACCTAGAAGTACAAGTCTTAGCAGTTTCCCAAGGAAGTGGGGTATCTAAAAATAGATATCACGTGATGTTTTGGTTATGTTTATTCCAGGTTCTCCTATTAGGCAAAGTCAGATAAGAGGTATTCGAGTTGTCTGGGAGTATTGATTTTGGGTTCATAGAGGTCAAAGGTGGGAGTGAGGAAATAACAATCTCCGCATAATGGATAGAAAATATTCCCTCCGTCCAGACCGGTATCAATTCCCTCTTTTCGTTATCTTCCACATAAACCATATTCAACAATACTGGGATGTTGTGATGCCTTGAAACAAGATGTTTGTTTTGGGGACTCCCATCGAGATTGTGGTGGCGAGGAATCTGCCATACCCAGACGTTGTATAGTTCTTTCTTGAAGGCCGTGAAGTCACTCATTTGTGACTACAACTCGAATGACTTCATTTTTGTAAGAAGTTTCGAAGCCGCGTGTTTCGGTTATAATGAGTCAATGAGTGGGCTTTCTTACACCCCAAGCAGACTGCCCAGAAAGGTGGCGCTCATGGGAAGCGAGTATTTAGTCAGAAGTGCAAAGAATCCATATTTACGATAACTATGCGAAGTCTTCTCTGGTATTGGAGGTTTCATCAGCAAGAAACCCTGAGTAGTTTTTTATCTGTTGCCTCTCCTGACGCCTGGCGGAACGTATGTAGGCTGTTATCAAGATCGAATCAATACCATGTCTTCCCAGCATGAGTTTTCACGAAGCTTCAGAACCTTGTTAGGCCACCAGTCAAGATACATTCGACCAACACTCTCTTCAATGAGCCTTTTTCTCTATTGAAATCCGTCCATGATCAGGGATATTGCGAAATTGGAGGTGTGGGACTCAAGTGTATAAAGTAGCCTAAAAGGCTTATCTTCATTGTAAAACTTTCTTTCCCTGTCTGAGGTGATGAGGAACAAAACATCATAAGGCTGGTCAAAGTTGAGCATGATTACCGAAAGGGGTACTCTCTACAGCCCACAAATCTCGAATTTCTTTTTGTAGATCTCCAAAATAGGAAATAATATTTCATAGAGCAATTTTGGCGAAATCTGCTAAACCTAACAGCAGGGACAAGTTTGTTTAGTGGAAAAGATTATAATGTCAAGTCAAGACGATGGCCCCAAAGTCAGACTATGGCTGTATGGTTAGTGAAAGTCTGACACATCGGACTACGCCAGTTGAGACTTTTCAAAATATCGATCTCACTGGCACTGGGGTGTGTGGAAGGTCATCCTCTCAGTTAGCGCAATATTGTTGCTCATTGAATATTCAAAAAAATACCCTTAAATACTAGGTCAAAACCTTTTGATTTCATTTTTGCTCACAATGGTCGTCTGGTTGGTTTCGCGCGGGAAACAACTCTACAGTACACTTAACCACTTGCAGAGCTGTAGAAGCAGGGGTATGATCTCCTGTGGGGGCGCCATTATTGCATACACGGGAGTCAATGCCGTTCAGTCTGAGGGAATGTTTTACAGAGGGAATATTGCACAGCGGTTCATTTTCAGATGCTCCTTCAGCAATTTATTTAATACAAGCTCTTCAAGGCCGTTTACAAACTTGTATAATTGGTCACTCATAGGAAAACAGGAGAGAGAACCCATATCTACAAGGTCCCCGGGAAGTTCACCCGTTCACCGCACGTGTACGAGAGCCAGCCATGTTTTTCATTGAGTATGGGGTAAAATATGCCTCACCTCATAGGGCTGACGTGCGTTGAAGCAAACGCCCGGATTTAAGAAACAACCCTACATTGTCCAGGTAAACGCGGGAAGACTTACATGGGACGGGACCATATGTATACCAGTCAGGCAGTTTTAGTGCATGTAACATAAACCTTGCGGGCTCGGAATCCGGATTTGATGCACGCCTTTTAACAGCCATTTTTGATCAGCTTCCCACGCTATGCGATCCACTCACACTTCAACCACACCAACCACGTCATTAAGGCTTTTAAATATTCAAGAATTATGTTTCAGCCTTGAGGTAACTCCACATAAAAACAAGATTGGTAGCCTAACTTGATTCATCGCGTCAACCGAGGTCCATTAACAAGTTCCAGTGGTTATTTTTAGGACTTATACTGTAGATACCTAACAACAATAGAAAATGTAACCCAGAAGGAATCTAACAACACATCAACGTTTTTATTTCATGTTGCGCCCAGCTATATCTCGTATGAACGCCAATAGTATCCCTTCCTCATACATCCACACTGACCGAGATGCTCCGTTTGCTAATCATTACAAAACAACAAGCGAAGCGATTTATGCAACCCTTCGGAGCTCAGCATTTCTAGCTGCCACGAAGCCAGAAAGTCTAACGGGGGAATTCTTCCGATTTGAGGCTCAAGTTTGGTTCTGATTTCAAAGCAACGGGGTGGCTGGAATATGATAGATGTGGAGGATGGGTGGGGATGGGGATGTCAGCGCTCAAGAGAGGAGAAATGCGAGTCACGCCCATGCTCAGGTATTGGAGCTGAATGATGAAGGAATGAATTGTTAAATATACAGGTTTTTTATTAGCACACTGTGGATTAGAGTTGTGTTGTTTGATCTGGCGATCGACATAGGCAATCTCATTTGTAATTGAGAAGCTGCAAGATATATTACATGGGAGTACAAGGAACGAGTCAGCTTTGATGCATGCGAGGAAGATCCATATGCATTAGAATAGGAGAAGTTATATCAATCGCCAATCATAGGTATGATTGAGCTTCTAAAATCAGATTCCTTCCCTACAGTCTTGACTCGCTGATGAGTTCAAACTAACACAACTTCTAGCAGCACAGGTATTGCTTCGAAAAGACATTTTTTCCCCTTCTATTCCATAACAGAGAAAAAGGCGGAACGCTACATACTAATCTACCTGTTATAGCGCTCCACCTGCAAAGTGCCATTTAGGTATATCATGGTAATCTATTACAACTGTGAACTTTGTGTAAGAGTGATACTTCTTGGTATACCATTGACAAGCGCAAACTCTTTCCTACCTCAAATTTCCAATGTAATAGAGCACGAATAAGTCTCTTCTCCCTTGCTAACTCTTCCCCAATCCTAACGGCCTGAGAGGAACCCAACACTTCTCTCTTCCAGGCCACCTCTATCAATTTCCGCCATTCAACAAATTCTATACTACACATGGAGATTAAATAAGTCATGGTGGACGACGAGATACCACCAGCTTTCTCAAAATGAGATTCGAGATAATCCTTCCCAACCAACCCCCCTATCTCAAGCGGAATACTATGTGGCATCCACCTTCTTGGGACTAGTTCTTGGGACTAGATATCTTTTCCTCCGCACAAAACTTACATTACACAAGAGTCCAAAACAACCTCTTAGACACTTTCATAAACCCAAGAAAAATCGTAAGCCTATTTACAGCCCCTTTGATGTCCCAGGGAATCTTTCTTACAACTGAATAATCCATCCCATTGTTGTACAAGAGGGCGAACAGATGATGCCGCGATTCCTATTTGTCCTGGAGACGTATATGGGCCTACTATTGTAATAAATTACGTGTGGTCTTAATAGCATTTGATGAAAATCTAGAATCTACGAGTACAATATTCTAGACCGTGGACACACAGACCAAGACTCATCCCAAGTCTTCTATTAGTCGGACAAAGCAGAACAACTATCCTACAATTCATGTAAAAAATTCCAGAGTGGAATTCTATATTCCGTGGTCTGGAATGAAATGAAATGGGATTTCAATTTCCGAACATTGCTGCCACCAAGATACATAAATACTGTATACAATTCTGTAAGATTTGCAAAAAGTCCGAACTCGATATCTCCCCATCCCCGCCACGCTCTACAATGAATCCCCACTTCAATTTTAAGATCAACCTCCCACCTCCTTGATGTTATGCTAAGCCCAACAGAAAGGAATTCCTCAATTCCACCAAAACATATCTTCACCATAACCCACCACCGACATCCACACATATAAAAAGTTTCCGCTGAGTCAATAGACTACACTACTTCGACCCATCCACCCAGTCCACCCAGTCCACCCAGTCCACCACCCACCCCAACCTCCCCATCTCACCTCATCTCCCTACACCCTACCAACAAAGTAATCCGAGCCCACAAAAACCACTCATCGCCCTCATACACCGACCTCAAATACTAACACGAAAACCCGAATGTGATATTTAGACCCACGTTCGGCTAAATATGCACAGCGACAGAGCTGCACATATGCTATTAGTAAATAGTCCCACATCGTGTGATTGTTTGTAGAACTTTTGCCGCCTTAGTGCAGCGGCGGAGTGCGCACCGGGTACTAACAGCCCCAATTGTGACACAACTCTGACTCTCAGAATACACGCCCTCAAATCCAAAACCCCATTCGATCCGGACAATCCCCACGTTGAGAGATCTACCTGCTTACATAGAGACTTAAAACCACCAACATTACTACAAGCAACGAATATGTATCCCCCCTCGATCCATCTTATCGCCCAACCCGGACTTCCAATAAACTAACCGACTAACTTTACAGTCTTTACACGTAAATCTTACAAAAGCCTAATCAGATAATACCTCTACCCATAACCGACCCCAGACCCAACTGCCAGCTTGAGAAAGAAAGAAAGACAATACCAGTTACCTAAGCACTATACATCTAGCATAAACCCAAATAAAGCAATTAGAACATAGAGTAGCATTATATTAGGCACCTAATATAATCAACCAACCAACCAACCAAAGCATAAACAATAAACAATAAACAACAAACATACCTAAAACCTCAAATACCTACCTACCCACCCCCCCTCTGACCCCCTCTAACCCTGCT